TGGATAAATTGATAGCGCAGGGGGTGTTGGAACCTGTGGAATATGCCCAGTGGGAGACACCAATTGTGACACCGATTAAAGCGGATGGCTCGATCCATATCTGCGCAGATTACTGGGCAATCTTGAATAAGGCTCTCCTGGGCCACGCTTATCCTGTCCCCATTGTACAGCATCTGCTGCACTCCCTGGGCCAGGGGTCGGTTTTCGCTAAACTGGACCTGGCCCAGGCATACCAGCAACTACGGGTAGACAATCAAACAGCTGAAGCGCAGACAATTGTGACTCACAGGGGGGCATTCCGATGTCGCCGCCTTCAGTTTGGGGTTAGTGTTGCCCCGGGGATATTTCAGAGTATGATGGAACGGATGCTGCAGGGAATCCCCGGGGTCATACCATATTTTGACGACGTGCTCGTCGCAGCGACCTGCACGTCTGAGTTAATGGATAGGTTGCGGCAGGTCCTCCGGAGATTTAGCGCAGCCGGCCTCAAAGTCAACAAACCTAAATGCAAAGTGGCGGTGCGCAAGGTGGAGTTCCTGGGGTTCTTAATCGATGGTTCCGGCATACACCCAACTGCAGCGAAGACGGCTGCTATTATGGATGCCCCAACCCCACGGTGTAAGGCCAACCTACAGTCCTTCCTCGGTCTACTGAATTTCTATGTGGTTTTTATTCTGCATAAAGCCTCGGTCGCAGAGCCGTTACACGGTCTTCTAGACCGAAAGGCGGGTTGGCAGTGGGGTGCCAGAGAGGATGCTGCATTCTGGGCAGTGAAACGCCTTCTTGCCTCCAATACTGTTCTCACGCAGTTCTCGGCCCACCTCCCTCTAACACTGGCCTGTGATGCATCCCAGGGGGCGGTATTGACCCACAAGTTTCCGTCTGGCCGGGAACTGTCTATAGCTTATTTTTCGAGAACATTGGCTCCAGCTGAGCGGAATTACTCGCAGCTGGATAAGGAGGCTCTCGCTCTTGTGGCTGGGGTCAAACGGTTCCACCATTACTTGTACGGCCGACCGTTTGATTTGTATACGGATCATAAACCCGTTAGGAATTCTGGCGGGCGACCGCCAAGCCCCGCAAATTTTGTCACCCCGTATGACTCGCTACTCTGTTTTCTTGGCTGCATACTCGTACACGTTGATTCACCGCCCTGGCCGGGACATCGCCCATGCAGACGCATTGAGCTGTTGCCGTTTCTGATCTTCTCATTGACCCGGTTCCTGTCTCCACCGTTCTCCTGATCGAGGAGTCGCCTCTACCTGTCACTGTGCGAGACGTCACCCGCCTTTCCACTAAGGACAGAATTTTATCACAAGTGCTTGACTGGATGGCCAGGGGTGGCCATCGGGGCCATTCTCACCGGAGTTCCAACCCTACGCTACGAGGCAGCTCAAATTATCAACCCAAGCCGGCTGCCTGCTGTGGGGCCACTGGGTAGTAATTCCTCCTCCTCTGAGAGAATCCTTGTTACAACAATTACATCGGGGACACTCGGGGATGGTGCGCATGAAGGCCCTGGACCGTTGTTACCTGTGGTGGCCACATCTTGATCACGACATTACTGACTGGGTCTCTACTTGTTCGCAATGTCAGGGAAGCATGTCTATGCCGGCCAGGGAACAGCCTCGGGAGTGGGAGGATCCTGGGGGGCCCTGGTCTCGTTTGCATATAGATCTGGTGGGACCCTTACAGGGACAGTCATTCTTGGTGGTAGCCTACACATTCTCTAAGTGGGTTGAGATGGTACCAATGCATTCCACCACTTCTGATGCAGTCATTAGGGCTCTACGGAAAATGTTTGTTACCCATGGGTTGCCTGATATGATGGTGTCTGACAACGGGGCCCAATTTACATCCACAGAGTTCGAGGGATTTCTGGCACACCGGGGGATACGGCACTGTTTAATATCGCCGTTCCACCTGGCCAGCAATGGATTTGCTGAACATGCCGTGAGGTCGGCAAAAGAGGCCCTAAAGAAGATGAGTCAGGGGAGTTGGCAGGATCTGGTGGAGGAATACTTAATGGCTCAGCATACGATACCTTGTCAGTTAACTAATAAGAGCCCTGCTGAGCTCTTGATGGGCTGTAAACTCCGCACATCGTTAGACTGGTTACACCCATCCTACTGTTGGAGCAAACTAGTGGATTCCCACAGTAGGTACCAGCCATTCCAAGTTGGAGACCTGGTTTATGCCAGGAATTACGGGGGGCAACCATTGTGGTTGGCCAGAAAGGTCGTGGGAATAGTAGGCCCCTGTTCATACCAAATTAAGGTAGACCAGGGGCGGGTTTGGAAGCGCCATAAAGACCAACTGCGGTCTAGGAGGATGTTAGCGCCCCGTCCGGACAGTAGGGAGTACCTACGCATACGACCATACAACCTGAATACTGACGTCTCACCCCCACCAACCCCGGCAAAGGTGTCCCCGTCAGACATACCTATAGAGCCTGTACCTGGGTCTGTTGAATGGCCAAAGGAAGCCGAAGCTGGGAGCGCTGGATACCAGGCAGACGCTCCGATCGAGACTGCTAATTCAAAACCGCCGCCAGACCGGCTGGGAGGGGTGGAGCCCAGGCGATCCGGGCGGGTCCGACAGAGTCCAGCATACTTAAGTGACTACATATGCATATAGCGGGCGCATGCATGAGCTGGGTGGGAAGGAGTGTTGCATACTAAGTTATGCTGCCAGTGGCCCCTAGTGACCGGGCCTGTTTGCTACGATAATTCTGATTGGTTGATACATTGACAGTTCGGGGGTATAAAAGGAACTGTCAAAACGCGGGAGTTTTTGCTGTGTTACTTATCGACTGTTGCTTAATAAAGATTGTGTTAACTTTGATGTCGCCTCAGGATGTGTGTCAGATCCAGAATGTATTAAGTCTCTCCCCCGATCACTAAAGATGGAACTCCCAGATCCCGAGATGCCGGCATCCACAGCCACTCGGTCTTGGAAGGGTTGAGTCCGAGTCTGTTCCTCCCCATCCAAACCCGCACCGCTTCCAGGCAGTGGGACATCACGGAAAGGGCATCACTAGGGTGATCACGGGTGGAGATGTAAAGCTGGGTATCATCAGCATATTGATACCTCACCCCAAAACCACTAATGATCTCACCCAGCGGTTTCATATAGATGTTAAACAGCAGAGGGGAGAGAACCAAACCCTGAGGCACCCCACAATTTGTGATTCAAAACTCCTTCTTGGCCCTAAATTTTAAATTCTACCTTAATTGTATTTGTAGAGTATCGTTAATATGGTTCATTAGTGATTTCGTTATTGAGCATGGACCTTACTAGTTGTCTGAAGTGTATGCAAATGGCTGAAGTATAAATTCCATTAATAAACTTAAGTACGGGACCTAGACTCCCATACAGTTTGTGTCAGCAGTGAAAGTTCATCCTCTGAGCAGACGAAGACCCCAAAATATAGGTTGTGGAGAAAGCAGTCGGCAAAAGCAAACTAAATAGGCACACAGCACTGAGCATAAAGACAGATGAGTGAGCACGACGAATCCATGAGTTAACCCATCTTTGAGACCAAGGAAGGATTGAATCCGAAATTGGTAGGAAGCTCCTTCGAGGACAGCGAACAAGTCAAAGCCTCGCAGGCGTCCCTTCTACCCAGGGTTATTGTAAGAGTAAAACGCGGGCGTTTCTGTACTCCTGTAACTCCTCTTCCAATTTTTCCCGATCTTATTTAAGCTATCCCCACTTCTCCGCAAGGCTTCTTCACTGGCTTTCTTAACCCAGTCCTCGCAGGCGAGGCCGGCCTCTCGGGCTACGTCTCAGCTCGTCAGGATGTGAGCTCACGATGCCACCTCCTCCTTCCTTTTATGTAATGCTTACCGGTTCCGCATAAGCAAAGACGCTGAAAATCTCTCTGGGCCCTCTGGCCTGTGTTGCCCGGGACGGGCCCCCTCTAGTTGCGGCGAGAAAGAGGGTGAGTCGTGAGGAGGGGCGGCTGAAAATACGGGGAAGAGAGCTCACTTGCTCGGCGTTTGGTCCATCTGTAGCATGGAAGCTGCTGGATGCCCGCTTGTGGGGCATTAAGGGCAGTTTGGCAGAAGGTGATTCGCATTACGGTCGCGCGTTTTCGACAGCCAGCAAAGTATACCGGGCGTTCCTGGCCATGCGGGCTGGTAGTTCTATAAATCTCCTCTTGGGGCTTTCCACATGCTTTCTCTGGAAGAATGCCTCTAATTCATAAGATTTTGGACGATTCTTGTGACCCCCCCCCTTGTTGTTTGAACTTGTTGTTTGACCAGCGAGTAGGATGTGGCTTGGGCTATATCCGTAAAGTCCAAGCTCAAATCGGCCCTTAGCTACTGAAGCCTATCGAGGAGCCACTGAAGGCGGTAGATCTCAGTCAAGTTTCCTCAGGGAGTTGTTTGAGGGCAATAAGGGACTGTTAAAGGCAGGGATCTGTGTCCTGAAGGAAAATCAAGATATAGAGATACGCGAAAATGATCTGAATCATCTGATTTCGGGGTGGGGAAGCCGGTGATAGGTAGTGAATTTTTGTAGGAATGAATAGAAAACCAAACAGATTGACTTTGACAAGCCAATTCGTTTCAATTTGTCACGTATAATCATGATTTGTTTAATCATCATCATCCTCACAAACAGCTGGGATGACAAACTGTTACTCAGACCCAGATAAGTCACTTTATAATTCAACCCTTTCCATACCTTAGTGTGTAGTGCCTTTATAGGAATATGACCTTAAAAGTATATAATATTTTTCTGTTCATTCTTCCTGAAGAATATCCATGCAAGTTGGAGAAATGTAATTCAGCATATGAAAAGAATATGGGAAACCTAATATGAGCAGTAAGATGTTAAGTTTCTATTTGACAATAAATTTCAGAAAGAAGCTGGATAGAGTTGTACATTACAGTACTGATCCAAAAGATAATACTGGAGGAGATACAAGCAGTTATTTTGGTGTTACCACATCAGAAAATCTTCTAAGTTAAGTATACTATTATGATCACTAACAAACATTTTCTGAAATTGCATAAGTGTTTTCTAAAATCAATGGAAAATAAAAATAATTCATTGTAATGCTATAAATCCAGAAACAATATTAAGGAATTTTAATATTAAAACTAACAGGAATATAAAATTATTTTGTCACCAAAAAATTAAAATGTTTACCTACTAAATAGCAAGCTGCTAAGCAAGTATACAGAATGTGCAAAAATATGTGTATATAAATATTAGGAACAATGATTGAAAAAAGTATAACAAAGAACTAAAGCATAAATAACGTTTTTTAAAAAATCAGAAAGATGAATTTGGAAGAAAGATAGCTTTACAGCTTTGTTCATACCTTTTATAGATATAAATTGTTTATACCTTTTATATACCAATGACTATGAATGGACTTGCAACTTGGATTACTGAAAATCAGTAAAACTAAAACAGTACATATAGTAGACATAGAACGTGGCCTCTTAGCTTTAGTAAGAGTAAGCTTTTTGTGGCAATTGTTAAGGTTATTGGCTGTGGTTTATATTAACAATAATATTTATTGTTTATATAACATCATTTGAGTCCACAAGAAATAGATAGGAACAATACGTATGCTACATTGAGTTATAAAAAATAAAGGCAAGATACAAGTGTAACACAAAAAGTCCTCGACTTACATCCACAATTGAGCCCAAAATGTATGTTGTTAAGCAAGACAGTAGTTAAATGAGTTTTGTTCCATTTTATAACTACTTGCCACATTAATTAAGGGAATCCCTACATTTGTTATGTTAGTAACATGGTTGTTAAGTGAATCTGGCTTCCCCATAGACTTTGCGTGTCAGAATGTCACAAAAGATGGTTCATGACCCTCGGGTTATGATTTGCAACCATCATAAATATAAGCAACTGCCAAGTGTCTGAATTTTAATCACGTAACCATGGATGGCTGCAATGGTCGTAAGTGTGAAAAGTCACTTTTTTCAGTGTCATCATAACTTCAAACGATTACTAAATGAATGGTTGTAAGTCGAGAACTACATGTAAATAAATAAAACTATATCATAAATTGTTATTTAAAGTCAACATGACTGATCCTTTAATTACAGAAAGAATATTTACTACATAGACATAATAGTTAAATATAATGACAAGTTGCATGATTTTATTTTTAAAATCATTTAAAAAAATTTAAATTTTATTTTTATGCAATATAGTTGTGCATTTCTGTGTAATATCTAAAACATATACCCAAATATTGTATTATTTTAAATATACCAGGATGTACCGATGTTACATTAAATGTAACAGGAGAAGCAATTTAGAAAACATTGGGTTAGGTCTGTAAAAAGTTAATTGAATTAAATTGCATGATTATTTATTTTGCTTATTCATTTCAATTTACTTTTTGCAAAGCCTGTTGATAGGGGAAGAGGTGTCTGAGAAGGTAGATTTAACATTTTATTTTCTGTTTGTTATACTTTGTTTTCCCTTTCCTTTTTAGTTTAGCAAAAAAAGTAGTAGTAACACCAGTTTAATATAAAGGCACAAATATTCCCAGGGCCACTGGCAGACAAGATGCTCTGGATTCAGCTGATATAAGGTCATATTTGCTCCACCTCTACTATGATAAATTTTGAGGGTTACTATTGTAAGATTAGGAAATATTTTCATCACATCAGGAGAAGGAGAATAAATATACAGTTAATATTCTGTTAATGACTGGCCTGTTTCGTGACCATTCAATGTTATGGCAGCACTGAAAAAGTGACTTTATGACCAGTCCTCAATTTAAGGTCAGATGATTGCCATTTACAAGCTTTTTTAGCATTAATACACCTTTTAAATTCGATAACTTTAATCACTATAGATATATTGTAATGTTTTACCAGACAATAACATCTGGCTCATAAAAGAAGCCGTCCATTGTTTTACTACTAATGTTGTAATTGTTTTTAATAAATTACAATATGGTTTTGTTTGCTTCTTGTAAAAAAGGATAAAGTTTAATAAACTAGTCAGTCCTTTAAGAATATTTGTAATAGCTACCATTATTCAAAAATGTATACGTAGTAAAATAAATTGGGCTTCTCTTGTAACCATTGATTTATAGCCTATAGGTAGATATCAGGAAAGAAAAACTGCAAAGACAGAAATTAGTATAATGGACCACAAAAAATATAAGTAAAATGGATTTATTTGTGAAAAATTTGGCTACTGAGAAACTGCTTTGAGTTCTGAAGGATAAAAAAAAATCCCTATCCAAATATTTTAATCAATAATTTAAAAGAGTTATAAGTGTCTGTTAAATTAATCACATAAATGAAAAAAATTACTAAATCTATTTTTATTATAAACAATACAAGCAACTATTTTTGCCAGTAATTTGGATGGGAGCAGTGCATAAATATCCTGGGTTGAGAACAATATCAGTCAAAGTGATAAAAGTAACTGTCTTTTTTAGGTGGCACAGTAATATTAAAGTGAAGAAGTTGCAATGGGGAATCAGCTGGCTGGCATTGCCCCCTCTCAGATACTTTCTGTTGACAGCTATTTCTCAGACATCCATGATTTTGAATATGACAAAAGATTGGGCAGCACTCGTTTTTTTAAAGTTGCCCGAGCTAAACATCGAGAAGGCTTAGTAGTTGTCAAGGTGTTTGCCATTCAGGATCCAACCTTACCATTAACTAGTTACAAGCAGGAGTTGGAGGAACTGAAAATACGGTTGCATTCTGCACAAAATTGTCTCCCTTTTCAAAAAGCCACATTATCTGAAAAAGCAGCTATGTTGTTCAGGCAATATGTGAGAGATAATCTTTACGATCGAATTAGTACCCGTCCATTCCTAAACAACATTGAAAAGAGATGGATTGCTTTCCAGATCTTGACGGCAGTAGATCAAGCACACAGGTCTGGAGTCCGGCACGGAGACATCAAAACTGAAAATGTGATGGTGACTAGCTGGAACTGGGTCCTTTTAACAGATTTCGCAAGCTTTAAACCAACTTACCTCCCTGAAGACAATCCTGCTGATTTCAATTACTTCTTTGATACTTCAAGAAGAAGAACATGTTATATTGCTCCAGAGCGTTTTGTTGATGGCAGTATGTTTGCCACAGAATTGGAGAATATACGAGATCCTTCCACTCCCCTGGTTGATTTGGTCAACAGTAATCAACGCAGCAGAGGGGAATTGAGACGTGCAATGGATATATTTTCTGCAGGTATTTCAAACTGGTCAAATGGTTAAAGATAATCTGTGCTTTGCCTTCATAGGCAATGAGTAGTAAACACTTCAATTTTGAAAATTAGTATTGAAAAGTATGTTCTGATTTCAGGAAGAAGCCTGGGGAGCTTCTGTGCAAATTTTGGATCAACTACTACCCTAAATCAGTGTTTATCAAACTTGGTAACCTTAAGATGTGTGGACTTCAACTCCCAGAAGACCCAGCCAGCACACAATACTGCAATTTTGGGAATCTGTTCTTTAAAGGAATGTTTCTCAATCATTAAGAAGACCAGAGGTTTAGTCTTTCAGCTTTCAGATTTGTGCCGGAGCCTATCCTCAGGGAATTTCTCTCTAGCAGAGCATCTATGGAGATTCTCAGTGATCCAGGTCATGGTTGTCCCAAATGTGCTTTTTTTTCAAGAGGCAATTGGACTTTCTAGTTTTTCTTTGAAGACATTTCACTTCTCATCCAAGAAGCTGCTTGAGTTTAAATCATTCCATGCCCCACCATCCAGTCAGAGCTGAAGAAGCTTCTTGGATGAGAAATTAAACGTCTTCAAAGAAAAACCAGAAAATTGCCGTTTGAAAAAAAAGCACCTTTGGGACTCTAGCAGAGTGTGTGCTTTAGGCTATTCTATGTGTAGTATTTATGTGGTGCCTGGTTGTGTGTGGCTTTTTATTGGTTGATTGGGGGTGTTGATGGCTGGCTATTAAGTTGTTGGCTATTGTTTCTTTGTGCTGCCAAGTCCTGGGCCGCCCCTAAGGATCTGATAAGCTGGTGGTAAATCAGCACTCTTGTTGATTGACTTGCAGATCTCGGAAGCTATACTTTACTGCTTCCGAAATGGATATTATATTTATTAGAAGATGCCTATACAGCATGCAAGGGAGAGAAAAGAAGAAAGAAGGTACAGGTAATCCCTGGGTTACGAGTGTTCGGTTAGCGAATGTTCAAGGTTACGCAATAAGTGCCCCCTAGTGTTAAGAACAAGTCCTGAAACTACGAATCTTGCAGCACCACGGCAGTTGTTAACCCTTACAAACAACCACAGAAGCTTTGCAACATTTGCCCTGCACGTTGCTGACTGAAATGGAGCTTCTGAGAGGCAGATCTGCCCCTCTGACTTTCCATTAGGGCATGCAGAGGCCTCACCCGGCATCTTGCCGGCTGAAGCCTCTGGATGCCCGAACAGAGCTTCTGAGGGGCGATCTACCCTCGGAAGCTCTGTTTCGCCCAGCAATGTGCCAGGCTTATGGAGGCCCGAATGGAGTGTTGGAGGGGCAAACCCGGCTGAGAAGCTGGAGAGGAGACTGCTTGCTAGATCTTTATAAGGTAAGTGAACCGGTTCGGCAGGTTGGGTGGGTGGGGAAAAGCAATTGTGTGGAGCATGAGGTATTTCAGTGGGTCAGGGAGGCCTTAGGTGGTCTTAAGTAGGTGGCCTGTTCCATCAGTAGCCCCCCCCCCCCCATAATATTTTTTGACAATTATAGGTGGGGCTTGCTTTATAGTTGGTCCTGAATTTGCAAGATATTCCGACTTCAACTGTCTGGTTACTGAGAAGTGCAACTGGTGGTTCACATATTAGACTTAACAGCATTGGCTGTCAATTGAGGCAAAGTTCTGAGTTAGTGTTCTAACATATCAACCTCTAAATAAATATGGGGCAAAATATATATCGACATACCTTTATAGAGATAAATATCTAACAGTATAATGGGAGATCCTGCTATATACTGAAAGTTGCTGAGTGCTATTTAGTAGTTGATAGAGTAGTTGCTTATCATCTATGGTGAAGTTCCCTGGCTGTAGAAAACTTTTTCTCAAAATTTGAAAGGCTCCTATTATAACACATTTGGGGCATTTCCTGTAATTCATGGTCCCCACTTTTTATTTTGAATTTTGTTTAAACATTGCTTATTTTGTATTTTATTCTTATTGTAAATGACTGAGGTATTTATATTATTTAAAACATTTATATAGCTGTCCATCTTTTAGCCATCTCTGAAAGATTTAAAAGATTAAAAAATATATAAAATCATTTTAAAAACTAAAACAAAACCAGTTAAAAAATAAAACATTTAAAAGAACAGAAATCTGGCATTAACTCATGCTAATGTACCATCGTATAATCTCCCAACATTTTAGAGAAAATTCATATCTTCAAGGCCTTAAGGCTAAAATGCTCTCTACATGGGGCTCCCCTTGAAAAGCACCCGGAGGCTCCAGCTGGTCCAGAATGTGGCCGCGTGGGTGGTTATGGGCGCAACTCGTTGTGCCCACGTGACATCCCTTCTGCGCGAGCTGCACTGGCTCCCAGTGGTCTTCTGGGTGCGATTCAAGGTGTTGGTTACCACCTTTAAAGCGCTCCATGGCATTGGACCTGGGTACCTTCGAGACTGTCTTCTGCCACCAGTAGCCTCCCACCGGCCAGTTCGTTCCCACAGAGAGTGTCTCCTCAGGGTGCCATCGGCCAAATTATGTCGGCTGGTGACACCCAGGGGGAGGGCCTTCTCTGTGGGAGCCCCTGCCCTTTGGAATGAACTCCCCCCAGAAATTCACAAAATCTCTGATCTCTGTGTATTTTGCTGTGCCCTCAAAACCATGTTGTTCCGCCAGGCTGAGCTATCAATATAAAGATTTTAATTGGTTTTAAATTGGGTTTTTAAATTTGGGGTTTTATAAATTGGGCCACCTATTTAATAATTTTAATTATTTTTAAATATCTGTCTTTGTGTTTTTAATTAGGCTGTACACCGCTCTGAGTCCTTCGGGAGAAGGGCGGTATAGAAATAAAATAAAATAAAATAATAAATAAAATAAAATAAAATAAAATAAAATAAAATAAAATAAAATAAAAAATAAAATAAAATAAATAAAATAAAATAAAAAAATAAAAAATAAAATAAAATAAAATAAAATAAAATAAAATAATAAAATAAAATAAAATAAAATAAAATAAAATAAAATAAAATAAAATAAAATAAAATAAAATAAAATAAAATAATAAAATAATAAAATAAATAATAAATAAAATAAAATAAAATAAAATAAAATAAAATAAAATGGTGAAAAGCTGCCAAACTTCAGGGGCACAACGTTCCATACGGTAGGGGCTGCCATGGAAAAGGCACACGTCCTAATTCTTATTAGATGACAATATTTGGGAAAAAGAACCGAGAGCATGCCCATCTGTCTGACTTGGTAGGACATATAGAACTCCTTAGGGAAAAGTGGTCCTCAGGTAGCCTGGCCTCGTGCCATGTAAGGCTTTAAAGGTGATAACCAGCATCTTGAAGTACACCCAGAAAGAAAATAGAAGTCAGTGCAGCTGGCACAACAGAAGTGCTATATGGGCAAACCTAGGGGCCCCATTACTGTTTGCGTCACTTCATTCCAAACCTGCTGAAGTTTCTAGGGGTCTCTAAGAGCAGCCCCATGTATAGCATGTTGCAGTTATCCAGACGGGAGATGATCGAGGCATGGATGACCCTGGAAAGTAGTAAATATAATAATTTATATTTGGATTAAGTGCAATTTTAATGCACTTAATCCATTTCCTGAGATCATCCTGCCCTTTGCAGTTGCTCCATGGTTTTAAAAAAAAGAATGGCTGCTTTAAAAAGTTACAGATGATGTTTCAATTGAATCTAAAGTATTGCACAACCCTGATTACTATATATATGAAGACTAATTGTCTCTATGTGGATTTCAATCTTATAATGTGGAAGATTAATCTTCTAACTAACCTAAATAGATGAGAAATAAACTTATAAATCATTTTGATGACATAATAATAATGAAACAAAACATTTAAAGGATATTTTTCTATTCAAATCAATCAATTTTCATCTGATTTTAGATTAGATAGCTTGTGCAGGTTGTTTATCTTTATGAATTAGTTTGCAACTGTCAAGCTTCAGTGTGGCATCACAAAAAGCTTTTTACATTGCTTGTTGCACGGTTTTTGCTTATTTGTACTTAAAGTAACCACTGTTTGTAGTTGCAAAATCCTACATCAAATAAAAAGTTGTAAAAACAATATCTTTAGGTTTTTGAATTCTTTTTTCAGATGAAATGAAAAGTATCTCCAGTGAAGGAGATTGGTTTATCTATGCTCCTGATGTCATTAGTTGACAATAAATTTAAAGCAGGTGTTGGCAATTATTTTAATGCAGGAGTATGATATTTTTAAAGAGGGTTATATGTATAGAGTTTGTCATAATGATGCTCCAAGAATAATTGAGACAGGATTGGAAGTGTACTGTACCTGTTTTTAATTAAGCATCATGACAAGTATTTGATCATTGTACTTCTGATGTTTAATAGTAACACTTCTAAATGTTACATACATGGCCATGTATACAGGGTCCAATCTTGCTTTAAAGTGAGCTTCCAAATGTTTTTAAATGATCTTGCTGTAACCAGCTATTGAGAAATCTATTATCAGAGGCTGCATGTACCTGTCTATCAAGTTGAAAAGCCAAATCTACAGCTTGTACTTTGTTTTGAGCCACCACTTTTAATAGCTGTGGAAAAAGAATGGATTTTTTTGTTTGTTCTGGTGGTCTTTTCTGGATTTCTTAGGATACCAGAACACCCCCCCCCCAAATATGACTAATACTTTTTTTCTCTCACTTCAACGAGATAGGGTTTCTGTGTCTTTTAAAAGTTACAATAGAGGCAGTCACCTTGATAGCTTCTAGGTATTTTGGACAAAATTCCACTATCTCTCTTGCCATTGGCAATGTTGCTTTAGGATTAGTGGAAACTGAATTCCTTACTCCAAGTTTAATCTTCTGTAAATCTCATTGCTTCCTCTTTCTTAGCTGCAAGATGCAAACTAATACTGTATAATTAGGCTATTAAACACATGAGAATATATTAAGGAGGCAGATCCTTTTATTGTTTACATGGTCTCAGAGAAATGTGAATCCACATGATGGGTAGATCAATACGATCTCATTGCAGCTATGTTGTATAAGTGAAGGAGTAAGCATGCTTTGAGAACTCTCTCATATTTTTAACACATGAACACAAATTAATAGAACATATGGGTTTTCATCTAACCAGGATCTTGATGTGCAAATATGGAATGCTTTTTTTCATGTTAAACAACAGCCAAATATGTGGTATTTTTACTAGCAATCTAGAACAGAGATTTCCAAAGCAGGTGATTTTAGATAAGCTTGGAATTAAAAATTAAAAATTTCTGTACTTATAAGGTTAAAGAGTGCTAATAGCAAGAGTGCACTTTAGAAATATTAAGTATAAATCAATAAATAATTCATAATTGTCTACTCCTTATGTTCTTTTCCCCCCCAGGTTGTGTAATAGCCGAGCTGTTTACAGAAGGTGTACCTCTCTTTGATTTGTCACAGCTTTTGGCATATAGAAATGGTCTCTTTTCCCCTGAACAAGTCTTGAGTAAAATTGAAGATCGAAGTATTAGAGAATTGGTAAATAATTCTACTCCCTTTATGGTGGCTTACTGCATTTTTCTACTTATTTAACAGCATTCTTTCTGAATCCTCCCCCTTTATTTTGCTACCTTGCCTTTTTTCCCCCCTAAAGGTTATTCAAATGATCCAGTGTGAGTCTGAAAAGCGTTTAGCAGCAGAAGATTACTTGAAGCAACAACGTAACAATGCATTTCCTGAAATATTCTACACTTTCCTTCAGCCATATATGGCGCAATTTGCCAAGGAAACCTTTGTATCTGCTGATGAGCGCATCCTTGTTATCCGTAAAGATCTTGACAATATAATCCACAATCTCTGTGGGCATGATCAAACAGAAAAGGCTGAGGGAGAGACAAAGGAAAATGGATTAGTCATCTTGGTTTCGGTAATAACTTCGTGCCTGCAGACCTTGAAATACTGTGATTCAAAATTGGCTGCCTTGGAGTTGATTCTTCAGTTGACACCTAAGTTAAGTGTAGAAATCCTACTGGATCGTATCACTCCTTATCTCTTGCATTTCAGCAATGACTCTGTGCCCAGAGTAAGGGCAGAAGCTGTTAGGACACTCACTAAAGTTCTGACTTTGGTTAAAGAAGTTCCACGGAATGATACCAATATCTATCCAGAGTACATCTTGCCAGGTATTGCTCACCTGGCCCAAGATGAAGCAACTATTGTCAGACTAGCTTATGCTGGTAAGACGTGAGTGTGGGCTGGGTGATAAGATAAAAAATTATTAGTTCATCTGTTATTTGTTTTTCCTGTAAAATAATAAAAATATGTAAGTGAAACTTAGGTACTGAATTTTATTTCTTTATATCGGACATTGTTATTAAAAAATTACTATTTATATTTGGACACAACTTTCATAGCAAGAATGTTTCTTGATTTTATGTAATATTCAATACCATTTTATATAAGTATGCACTATTGGTGGATGCACTAAAACTTTAAGATAATATTCCAGGCTCTCAAACAAAATGTCTCTCAAGGATATGTATTTGTTGTTGTTGTTAGTCGTGAAGTCATGTCCGACCCATTGCAACCCCATGGACAATATTCCTCCAGGCCTTCCTGTCCTCTACCATCCTCTGGAGTCCGTTTAAGCTCATTGCCTACTGCTTCAGTGATTCCATCCAGCCACCTCATTCTCTGCCGTTTTCTTCTTCTTTTGCCCTCAATCTTTCCCAGCATTAGGCTCTTCTCCAGTGAGTCCTTCCTTCTCATTAGGTGGCCAAAGTATTTGAGTTTCATCTTCAGGATCTGCCCTTCTAAAGAGCAGTCAAGGTTGGTCTCCTCTAGGACTGACTGGTTTGATCGCCTTGCAATCCAAGGGACTCACAGGAGTCTTCTCCAGCACCATAATTCAAAGGCCTCAATTCTTTGGCATTCAGCCTTTCTTATGGTCCAACTTTCACAGCTTTGTGAAAGTTCACTTGCAACTGGGAAAACCATAGCCTTGATTATACACACTTTTGTTGGCAGGGTGATGTCTCTGCTTTTTAGTAAGCTATTTAGCTTTACCATGGCTTTCCTCCCCAGGAGCAAACATCTTTTAATTTTTTGGCTGTAGTCCACATCTGCGGTGATCTTGAAGCCCAGGAAAATAAAATCTGTCATTACTTCCATTTCTTCCCCATTTATTTGTCAGGAATTGAGAGGGCCAGATGCCATGATCTTAGTTTTCTTTATGTTGAGTTTCAAGTCAACTTTTGCAGTCTCCTCCTTCACTCACATCAAGCGGCTCTTTAGTTCCTCTTCACTTTCTGCCATTAAAGTGGTATCATCTGCATAGCTGAGATTGTTGATATTTCTCCCAGCAATCTTAATTCCAGCTTTTGATTCATCTAGCCCCACCTTTCTCATGATGTGCTCTGCATATAAGTTAAATAGGCAAGGTAATAGTATACAGCCTTGCTGGACTCCTTTCCCAATTTTGAACCAATCAGTGGTTTCATGTCCAGTTCTCACTGTTGCTTCTTGACTTGCATATAGGTTTCTCAAGAGACAAATAAGATGGTAAGAACTTGCCACAATTTGTTGTGATCCACACAATCAAAGGCTTTAGCATAGTCAATGAAGCAGCAGTAGATATTTTTCTGGAATTCCCTAACTTTCTCCATGATCCAGCATATGTTGGCAATTTGATCTCTAGTTCCTCTGCCTCTTCGAAATCCTGCCTGTACTTCTGATAGTTCTCGATCCACATACTACTGGAGCCTAGTTTATAGGATTTTAAGCATAATCTTACTAGTATGTGAAATGAGTGCAATGGTGCGATAGTTTGAACATTCTTTGGCATTGCCTTCCTTTGGAATTGGAATGTAAACTGATCTTTTCCAATCCTGTGGCCACTGTTGAGTTTTCCAAATTTGCTGGCAAATTGAATATAGCACTTTTACTGCATCGTCTTTTAAGATTTTGAATAGCTCAGCTGGAATACTGTCACCTCTACTAGCTTTGTTGTTGCTCAGATTTCCTAAGGCCCATTTGACTTCTAGGATGTCTGGCTCGAGGTCAGTGACCACCCTGTTGTGGTATCAGGGATGTTAAGCTCGTTTTTGTATAGTTCTTCTGAGTAATTTTGCCACCTCTTCTTAACCTCTTCTGCCTCTGTTAGGTCCCTGCCATTTTGGTCCTTTATTATGCCCATCTTTGCATGAAACATTCCCTTCATATCTCCAATTTTCTTGAAGAGGTCTCTGATTCTTCCTATTCTATTGTTTTCTTCTATTTCTTTGCACTGTTCATTTAAGAAGGCATTCTTATCTCTTCTAGCTATTCTCTGGAATTCTGCATTCAATTGGATGTATCTTTCTCTTTCTCCCTTTCGCTTCCCTTGTTTCCTCAGCTATTTGCGAAGGTTCCTCAGACAGCCATTTTACTTTCTTGCATTTCTTTTTCTTTAGGATGGTTTCAGTTGCTACCTCTTGTAGAGTGTTGCGAACCTCCGTCCATAGTTCTTCAAGCACTCTGTCTATCAGATCTAATTCCTTAAAGTTACTTGTCACCTCTACTGTATATTCATCAGGGATATGATTTAGTTCTTACCTGAGTGGCCTAGTGCTTTTCCCTACTTTCTTCAATTTAAGCCTAAATTTTGCAATAAGAAGCTCATGATCTGAGTCACAGTCAGCTCCTGATCGTGTTTTTAGTGACTGTATAGAGCTTCTCCATCTTTGGCTGCAGAGCACATAGTCAATCTGATTTCTGTGTTGACCGTCTGGTAATGTCCATGTGTAGAGTCGTCTCTTAGGTTGTTGGAAAAAAGTGTTTTCTATGATTATCATATTCTCTTGACAAAATTGTACCAGCCTGTGCCCTGCTTCATTTTGTACTCCAAGGCCAAACTTGCTTGTTATTCCAGTTATCTTTTGGCTTCCTACTTTAGTATTCCAATCCCCCATGATGATAAGGATATCATTTTTTGGTGTTAATTCTATAAGGTGTTGTAGGACTTCATAGAACTGGTCTTCAGCACCAGTGGTTGGGGCATAGACTTGGATTCGAACTGAGATCATCGGTCATTTTGGGGATTGTATCCCAGTACTGCTTTTCCTACTCTTTTATTGACTATGAAGGCTATTCCATTTCTTCTGAGGGATTCTTGCCCATAGTAGTATACCTGATGGTCATCTGAATTAAATTCATCCATTCCTGTCCATTTTAGTTTGCTGATTCCTAAGATGTCGAGTCTTGTCATCTCTTGTTTGACCATGTCCAGCTTGCCTTGATTCATGAATTTTACATTCCAGGTTCCTATGGAGAATAGATCTTTACAGCATCAGACTTTCCTTTCACCACCAGATACATCCATATCTGAGCATCCTTTTGGCTTTGGCCCAGTCACTTCACTCTTTTTGGCGCTACTAGTACTAGCCCTCTGCTCTTCCCCAGTAGCATATTGGACACCTTCTGACCTGAGGGGCTCATCTTCCAGAATCATATTTTTTTGCCTTTTGGTATTGTTCGTGGAGTTTTCATGACAAAGATATTGGAGTGGTTTGCCATTTCCTTCACCAGTGGATCACGTTTTGTCAGAGCTCTCTGCTATGACCTGTCCATCTTGGGTGGCCCTGCACGGCATAGCTCATTGCTTCATTGAGCTACGCAATCCCCTTCAGACAAGGCAGTAATCCACACACATGTGTGTGTGTGTGTATAAAATTTATATAATTGAGCTTGTTCACCTAAAAACTCTGGTTATTGGCTGGCTACCCAGAGAAAACTGAAGAATGAACCAAGCATTTTTCTCAATCCTGCAAACATGACAATGTATACTTCAGGAAAAAGTTGGTAATGCACTGAATGTGAACACGAATGTTTCCATAGGTAATTTTACTTATCCTTCCAGACTCCCTCTCCAGGCTACAAGAAAAGGACTAATTTGTAGCATCATATTTATTATTAAGTGCCCCTTGGTCCCAGATAAGTGTTCTTAAGGAATACTAATAGAAATACCATAAGCTTATTTTTTTGTCTAAAAAAATAAGCTGGTAATGGAAATATAGGTCTCATTTCCACATGTGTGGAAAGCATAGAGTGTTTGGAAAGCCTTGGTGAGACCTCTATGACTAAGATTAATATAGTTCCAGTTATATTTATTCTGTGAAACTTCGCTTTTTCTTTTAATCTTTGCAGAGAACATAGCATTGTTGGCTGAAACAGCTCTGAGATTTTTGGAGTTAGTCCAATTGAAAGCTCTGAATATGGAAAATGAACCAAACAGTGAAGAAACAGATGATACAACACATCCTAGTGAAAATTATGATACTGGTAATGCATTTCTTAGACTGACTTACCTTTTAAGTGTGATGCATATAATTAACCTAATGACATTGCCAGATAAACATCTACAGGAAAGGATTTCTGTTTTTCATGCTCTTTGAATATAATCTTTCCCATCCTAGAACTTTCAAGATATGCTGGCTAGAAATTATGGAAGTTGCAGTTCCACTATATCTGGCAGAACATTTCTGATTCCAAAAAGATACCAAAAATTCCCTTTTTATGCTATTTTTTCATAATTTACAGCATTTAAGTAAAAGAAAATGGTGAGGTAGTGTTATTAATAATCCACTCATAGAAATGCATCATAATGTTCCTTTGTTAAATCACAGTTTATCTCAGAAAATAAGTATCCCTTTCTTAAATTGGTCAATCTTCTGCTTAGCATTTTCAAATTCTGTATGGATCTCATGTACAGTATATGGATTTATATACATAAACAAGACTTTCTGCATGTTATTTTATAATGTATATATGCAAAAGGAATTAATATGCAGTTATTTTAATATTGAAGCCGCTACTGGAGATTTTGATCAAGCTCAGATTCTGTGTTCTAAGTACTTTTACATTAGTTCCAACTTGAGCAATAGCATAGACTTTAAATGCCTTACGGCCCTTTAAACTGTAAGCCTACATAACTGATATTATTATCTGATGCAAGGTAAGGCACGAGTGCTAACTTGGAAAGATTTCTGAATTGAATGGAAGTTACTTCACTAATTGGAGGATATTTTTTTTCCTCTCTCTTGCTACTCATGTTCTTTTTAAACTACTTTCCATTATTCTACCTTTTCTTACCTGATACCTTATAGATTCTTTGGAGACTCACTGCTTGAATTGCAAAGTATGATTTTCGGCCCTGTTTTATGATTTCCAGAAGGTGTAAAGAGTTGCTTCCCAGAGATCTCTCATTTTCAATTCCCATTTTTAAAATGCCCCAAAATAAGCTGATAAATTTTAACCATGTCCCAACCAATAACATCACTATGTCATAACATGTTTTTCTGAGACCTTCCAAAGGTTGAAAAGCTGAACTGTAGTGGCCAGCCTTTTAGAAGTTTCCTATCTCTCCTGTAATTAAATTGTTTTAAGGTGATGGTAGTGTAGGAACTGTGTATGTTGCAGCTCATGTAGACTATGTGCTGTGAGCAAAATAATCAAGTGACTTGTCCTTGGGTTTTTAATGTTCTAATAGCCAAATGTTATAAAGTATCGCTATAGCTCAAGTTCAAAATGCGTGAGAGAATGCCACATCAATTCATATTCAAATTTCGCCTTAGCTTTGAAGTTCTGTTCCCTCTTTGATTTATCACATGATACAGTTTTAAGAAAGGTGGGTTGTAGACCTGATTCTACTACACTTTTTCTCTTATAACCTAGTACATTGCATTTGTCACTCATAGTGTCATATTATAATTTGCTAAAATACATAATTCATTACATTTTCATAAATGTTAACAATTCAGCAAAGATAAAAGAAAAGATTACTGAACAAAAATAATATATTGCATTGTATGATAGTGAAATATATTCTTCATCTTATCTGATCTGTTTCTGTGTTACTCTTGCAGAGCTTCAGGCCTTGCATGAAATGGTTCAACAAAAAGTGGTCACTTTATTAAGTGATCCAGAAAATATTGTTAAACAGACTTTAATGGAGAATGGGATAACTCGTCTTTGTGTTTTTTTTGGGCGACAAAAAGCCAATGATGTACTTCTTTCCCATATGATCACTTTTCTTAATGATAAGAATGATTGGCATTTACGGGGAGCATTTTTTGACAGCATTGTGGGTAAGTACTTAGCAACAAAAATAATATTTCCATTATATTATAGGAGGAATGGTTTTATTAACTGACTAATTAAACAGTTTTATATATAAACATTAATGTGAACAGCCTTAAATCAGGTGAATCAACTTGTATTGATGTACCAATAGTCAGTAAGCTCTCCCACAAGATGACCAGTCAGATGCATCCTGAATATTGTACAGGTAGTACTCGGGTTGCAATGATAGTTAGAAGTGGGATTGCTCCACTAAACAATGCAGTTATTTATTTTATTTTATTTTATTAGATTTCTATACTGCCCTTCTCCCGAAGGACTCAGGGCGGTGAACAGCCAAAGGATAAAACACAAGAATACAAAATTTAAAATAAATTAAAACAGATTAAACAATTTGGCTCAATTTTAAAAATATCCCATAATTAAACAAATTAAAATTAGTATTTAAAATTTAAATTTTAAAATTTTAAAAAGGAGGAGATGAAGCAGAACATAGCATATCACTTAGCAATGACTGTCAAAACATCACCACCTCATGAGTCATTAAATCATTAAGCAGCAAGAGGTGAGTGTCCCAAAAAGGAATACAGTGATACCATGGGTCAACCAGAGAGAGCCGTAGGCAGGCACTAGGGAACACAGGCAGGCTGATGAGGGCCACAGGTGGGGTGTGGAGATAGCTTGCACGCATGACAATATGCTACAGAGTTCAGATGGGAGTACTGTAAGACGTTGATACTCTGTACCAAGGCACCTAGGGAGAAAAAGAACAGGGGAAACTTATGAGAGTGATTTTCAATCTTTCCTGCTGACTTTCCCATTGACTTTTCTTGTACGAATCTAGCTGGGAAAGTCTTAAATGCTGATCATATGACTGTGGCTTACTGCAATGTCATAATCATGAGCTAAGCACTTGGAACATGATCGTACAACATCAGGGATGCTTTAAGAACTACAATTTCACAGTTGCAAATCATTTAGTGCCATTGTAATTTTTTAAATATTTTTTTTATTTTATTTCCAAAATTAAAATACAGACTTCAAAAAAAGGAAATAAAAACAAAGCAAAATAATTAAAGACAAAAACAAAAAATGTGCATAAAAGAAAAAATAAATATAAATTGCCCCCCCCTCAATTGAATATTGATTTGTAAGCTGCCCTGAGTCTCTGGAGAAGGGCAGCATATAAATCAAATTAAAAAAAAAAAAAAACTTGGTCAGCTCTATTTACTCAATTAATTTGACCTATCATCTTATCTACTGCAAAAAGATTTAGTAGTTAAATCCAGCATCAAACTTTCATTATAATTTTGAACAGTCATCGAACATGCAATCTTAAATTGAGGACTATCAAGAAATGATGTAGACATATAGCTATGAATTATTCCATGTTGTCTGCCTTCAGCGTATGATAATCATAAATATATTATGGTTGTATATTTAGCATTAATGATTAGTCCTTCATCTTATCCTTGAAGTTAATGCCACAGTTAGGGAAGCCATGGTCCTCCAGATATTGCTAAATTACATTTATAGTCCCAACCAGTAATGAAGGATGCTGAGAATTGAAACTCAGTTACATGTGAATGGTCATGGGCTTCCCATTCCTGATGTTTTCCATTAAGCACTAAAACAGTGCCAACAAATTCTGAAAAAGAAGATGGAAAATCTATAGAAAACAACTCCGGGTCTTAAAATGACATTCAGTTTCTTTCTTTCTTTTTTTCAAAATCAGGCGAGTTGTTTTACAATATATGTTGAATTTAGTTCGTAAAATTATTTAGTTTTTTAGGAATTATAATTTGTATTTTTTAAATCTACCTGGATTTCAGGTGTGGCTGCTTATGTTGGCTGGCAAAGCTCTTCCATTCTAAAGCCTTTGCTTCAGCAAGGACTGAGTGATGTTGAAGAATTTGTAATATATAAAGCTCTCAATGCCCTTACCTGTATGTGCCAATTAGGACTTCTGCAGAAACCTCATATATATGAGTTTGTGTGTGATATTGGTAAGTCATCTCCCTCTCCCCCTCCTGTTCCAAAAATCTTTGTGTGGCATGTAATTTAATCACTGGTATATAGTCATTCTCCCTAATTTAATATCACCAAAGTGGTTCCCAGAATATACAACCTTCATAGTTTTTGGCTGGAGTTCTTGCAATTGTAGTCTGAACACATGTAGATGGTATCAAGTTAGGAAAGATTCTACTAGATTAAAATAGCTTTATCTATTTTTCAGTTGACATAGTTTATTAAATTATCCTATTCTTTCAAATGTAATCGAATTCTTTCAAGTAACTTTGATTAGTCATTGATAGCATTTTACATTCATAAAACAGCCTTCCTACACAATCCTATTGCTTCCACCTCTTTACTTACCAATAGTATAGGAAAAGACATAAAACTGCATCATGTCTTTTCATGGTAGTGCTAAGAACCATCCACCTGGAAGCATCCAAAAATCCACCATCAGTAGGTTTAGCCAGAAAATCCTTTCTATTTCCTAGCTTGAAAGCAGTCCAGCTGAAGTATCTAGCTATTGGTAGAACATTATGTGATGACTTTTGCAATGAATTATAGGCTTATGGATGTTATTATGAACAGTTTGGAATAAAATCAGAAATATTACAAAGCAGAAAGGAATTAAATTCTTAATGGAATATTCTGCCACATGCTAAAATTATAATTATGAAGGGATGGTAGATGAATAAATAGAAACTTTCTTCCTCTTTCTCAATTATTTGCAGTTTGAGTTGGAATTGTTATGTGCATGTGTGTAAAAAATTGTATAGGTTTTTCCTCTAGAATTTGAATTATGTTTCTTAGCCTATTAATTAATTAAAATTAACATTTCTTTTTAGCCCCTTTTTTGTGCCATCCCAATCTCTGGATACGTTATGGAGCAGTAGGATTTATCACTGTTGTAGCACAGCATTTGAATATTGCTGATGTTTATTGCAAACTAATGCCTTACTTGCACTCCTTCATCACCCAGCCAATAATACAGGTAATAAACCAAATGCATATTATTATCATTCATAGCAATGCGATTGTATTAGATCTCTGTGGAAAGAAGAAAATTTTCTTTAAAAAATTAAATTATGTTTTGTTTCCAATGGAACTTGATGACTTCCTTGTTTTCTCTCAACTGCAGATAGATAAAGAAATTGTTCTCCTGAGTGTTCTCAAGGAACCTGTAAGCCGTTCTATATTTGATTATGCTCTAAGGTCTAAAGATATAGGAAGCCTTTTCAGAACACTACAGCTTCGTCAGAAAAAAAGAAGTGGGATCCTTTCTGACTGTCCACCTCCTGAAGATCCTGCAATTGCACAACTGCTAAAGAAGCTACTTTCTCAAGTAAATATTTTCCAGTATAATAATAGTAAAGCCAGGCAGAATCTCTGGTCACACAAGGATATGAATCATGGCAGTAGCTGTGCGACATTCAGATAAATGGATGGCACTTGTCATTCTTTTCACAAAAGCCCCCTTGAATTTATGTTGTGACACACAATTAGTCATTTTTCCAGTAATTCAGTACTGACCTCTAAAAGATCATATCTATATTAAATAATAGAAATTGCTCTTAGGAAAAAAGAAATCTAGGTTAGAAACATAGGTTATAGAGGAAGACTGCCAGATTGCCTTGAAATGTATTTTTATATTTAAGTATTGCTCTTCATTAATTGGGATTCTTAAGATTAACGTTTCATCTTCTGATTTAAATTTTGTGGTTGACAATTTTCTTAAAAGTGATAGAAAATTCTTGTGTCAATTGTGTGGAAATATTAAATGTATTAAATGATCTGCTTGTATAAATAAAATATAATAGTTTCTATTAATGAACAAAATTGTTTTATTGAACTATCATACTTTAGAAGTTATAATCATTTTGACTGTTCTGTTGGATATGTTGGATTACCAAAATTATATGGCTGAGCAAGACAATCCATGTCCTAAATTATTTTGATTAGTAGACAGCAACTTATTTTTGTTTTCCACTTTGCTTTTGTATTTAGCAAAGGATTTATTAACATATAATTTAGTTCTTGATTTCTAAAAGGCACTAAGATTAATTCACTTTGATCATAGTTGCTATACATTATGTATAACTTGAAATTCTCACCTGTTTTTTGCCAGTTATGATAATTTCAACACTATGTTTTGTGAATAGGGGATGACTGAGGAAGAAGAAGACAAGCTGCTTGCTTTACGAGACTTCATGTTAAAGTCCAATAAAGCCAAGGCCAACGTAGTGGATCAGAGCCACTTTCATGACAGCATTCAAAAAGGCGTAATTGACTTGGCAGCTTTGGGAATAATTGGGAGACAAGTTGATCTAATTAAAACTAAGCAGGAATCTGATGATAAACGTGGTTTGTATAGTTTCATGGTTCTCAACTTACTTTTTACTAATTTATATGTGGAAATTTTCCTTAGTCATTAGTGCACCTGGGATTCAGATTTAGTCATGTGTAATTGGACTGCCAAAAGTAGGCTTTCCTACCATTTATATTTATTATTTCCTGAAAATACTACTTAAAGGACTAGAGGTATTGTGTTGAATGAGCATCTCTGCCACGGCTTGCCTTACCTTGTCTTTTCATGGTAATTCTACCTTGGCATATAAAGGTAGTCCTTGACTTATGACCATAATTGAGCCAAGAATTTATGTTGCTAAATGAAACATTTGTTAAACAAGTTTTGCCTCATTTTATGATTTTTCTTGCCACAGTTGTTGTAAGTAAGTACAACACAAGTAAGTAAGTAAGTAAATCACTGCAGTTGTTAAGGTAGCAACATGATTGTTAAGTGAATCTGGCTTCCTCATTGACTTTGCTTGTCAGAAGATCGCAAAAAGTGTTCATATGTCCAGGACCCAGCAGCTGTCATAAATATGAGTCAGTCTGAATTTTGATCACATGACCTGCTGGGTGCTGCAGTGGTTATAAGTGTAAATATGGTTATGTCACTTTTTTCAGTGCTGTTGTAACTTTGAATGGTCACTAAATTAACTGTTGTAAATCAAGAACTACCTGTAATATTCTTCTTCTAGATGTCATTAAGAGAAAATTAATGTTTAATAATGAATGATTCCCCACCCCTTGAGTTTGAGACACTGAGCACGTAGCTGGTGTTTTAATATCTTGTTGGAAATGAAATCAAATTTCAAACCAACAATATGTGGCTTTGTAGCAAATAATATACCATTATGATTAAGCTAAATCCGTTTTGAATACCAATTAAATAATCTGACGTCTATATGGTTTAACTGCTTTATAAATAAGGAGTACCTTTGGGAATTAAGATGAATGTTTCAGAGTTATTTAATGTTAGGCAGAAACTTTTGTCCAAATTCTTACTTAGTCACTGATTTATTTGATCCAGTACTAGCCTTTTTACTTTTAACATCTGTTCAAAATAAATCAGGGTGGGTGAGTCTATATATGTTTATTCTGCAATGATCCCGACCATTCTGGATTTTTTTGCTGTACATCAAGTTCAGTCTCATGATAATCCTTCTTTTGGGATTTGCTGATTTTAGCTAGAAAACATGTAAAACAAGATTCAAACGTAAATGAAGAATGGAAGAGTATGTTTGGCTCTTTGGAACCTTCTAGCATACAGCAACCCCTTAGCAAAGGCTATGTCCAAACCTCTGACCAGGAAGCTATCCAAACTGGAAAACCTCTTCGATCAGAATCCTCCGCTGGCATTTGTGTGTCTTTATCATCATCTCCACAGGTATTTGAGGAAATTTATGTATTTGAGGGTATTTATGTTTCACCTTTAAAATTCATTTTAATGTCTCAGAATCTTTTTCCACCTCAGAACCTTTGATAAAGAGGGTAAATGCCAAATTCTGGTTAACTATGAATCAGATATTAAACTGAAGAACCAACAGCCACTAGAAGGATATATAATGCTTTTCCTGTGTCGTCTCAAGATCAGTAATCTAGATCCTGGATCTGTGATTGATATAGTTTAGAGTTTCACAGAAGAGCTAAGCTATTGATCCAATATCCTTCAAAACAGTACAGTGTGCAGTTGTATAACATAACATATGACCTAAGCCTTTCACCAATAATAAATGTGTGTGTGTGTGTGTGTATATATATATATACGTATACATATATATATATACATACATATATATATATACATATATATATATACATATATATATATATATATATATATATATATATATATATATATATATATATATACACACATACATATATACACAGACAGACAGACACACACACACATATATAAACAAACCTAAGTCTTTCACATATATAACATACAACCTAGGCCTTTCACCAATAAAATATTTTTTCTTCTCTAGTTGGAAAATTTTCTCAGTTACTTTGATGATAGACATATTTTCATAAAACTTGCTAGTATTCATTGAACATAAACAAATGCATTTCTAAATGTCATTGAATCACTTCATATAAAGAAAATCATTGATGCTCATTCTTGATTGCTTATGCTTCGATCTTCATATCAGTCATTGTAAATAATGAAGCTAGATAGCTTGGTGCATTTTTTTCTAATTGTTATACAGGAGTAATTGGCTCATGCACCAGCAGGTGAATCCAAATTGAAGTGATGAAAAATCATGTAAGCAGATTTCTAATGCAAAAGCTTAGAAGCTATCTCTGTTTTTAACTATATATCATGTGATTATCCAACATGATTTATGTATGGCTTTCAGGCAGCAGATGGACAAGCTATCCAAGTCAGAAAACCAACTATACAAGTTATAAGCAGTGTAGTTTCACCCTCTACATACCAACTGCGCATTACTACTTGTAAAACTGAACTTCAGCAGCTAATACAGCAGAAGCGTGAACAATGTAATGCAGAAAGAATTGCAAAACAGATGATGGAGAATGCAGAATGGGAGACAAAGCCACCACCCCCAGGTAATACCAGTGTACTCTTAAACATTAGAAAAGCTATGAAGGTAACATAACATGGGATTTTAGTCTTGCTGAAATAGCAGATTTTGAAAAAGAGAAATTCCACTTCTTATGTTCTTTCCAATAAAGTCTAAAGTGATAAAATGTCACTTGCTTGTTCTAGCTGTAACTGATGTTGTGTGAATGTAATAAGCATTTGCCTAGAACAGTGATGGCTAACCTTTTTGCCATCGCGTGCCAGGAGAGGGGGGGCAGGGGAGGGTCGCCCATGTGCATGCATGCGCAGCCCCCCCCGCTCCTGGCACATGATGGCCTGGTAGGTCCTTTTTTCTTTCTTACCTAGTTCCAGATCCTCTCTATTTATCTGGGAAGGGCGAAAACAGCCTTTCTCACTCTCTCAGAGGCCCTCCAAAGGCCTGAAACGGCCCATTTCCCAACTCCAAAAAAGTCACTTCCTGTCCCACCAGGAGTCAGGAAATGGGTCCTTTCAGCCTCCATAGGGCCTCCAAGGGAGTGGGAAAGGCTCTTTTCGCCCTTCCCAGATAAATAGAGAGGATCTGGAGACAGGTAAGAAAGAAAAACGGGCTTCCCCCCCCAGGCCCTCCAGAGGCAGGAAACAGCCTGTTTCGCTACTTCTTGTGGGCCCAGAAGGCCCGAAAACCAGCTGGCTGGTGCGCCCACTAATATGGCTCCATGTGCCACCTGTGGCACACGTGCCATAGGTTCACCATCACGGGCCTAGAAGATATGAGATTCTTCTATCTCATTCACCAGTCTTGAATACATCAAGTTAGGTAGCTGCTTCTGGGCTAAAATAATAGACATATTTTCAGATTTCTCATGTCCATATTTCTGATGTCCTGTTTTCCTGTGCGCTGCGTACACTATCCATGGATGGGAGTTAATGCTTCAGCCTTTGGCAAAAAACTGAGTGTTCTTTAAGACAAAAAAAGACCTTCCCCAGGGACTTCCCCTTTCCCCTTTGCCTAGCCACACCCCCAGTCCCATGATCCCCAGTCTTCGCTCAGTTGTTTGGCAACGCTGAAGTGTTCTCCGGGAGCTCCTGCCTTAAGGTATTGGTTTCCCTTATTCCTGGGGTTTTTCTTTGAGTTTTCTTCACCCTTCCTCAGGGGTGTTTAGGATTTTATTTTATTTTTGAGTATCCTTTTCCCTCGGGGTCTTCCTTTTATTTTAATTTTTTTCGTTGAATTTTGACTTCACTGAAGCGCCGCTCGCAACAGCGCTGATCAGCTGGGCGCCGGATCGGAAACCCGAGCCGCCCACGCTGCTCATTTACACACGGCGCCAAATTCAAAATTGCTTGAAGCCCCAGCCTCACCGAAGCAACCAGCAGCTGTGCGGGGCATAGAGAAGAGCGAGCGGCTCGGATCCACGCCGCTCGAGCCGAACGAAGCAGCGTGCAGCTGCGGTTCGCCCGGCTAGCCCTGCCAGCTGCCGCCGCGCTACAGGAAGGCGAACCCAGCGCAAAGAGGCACAGCAGCTGGCTGGACCCTCGGGCCTCCAGCATAAGACCGTAGCCGGCGGAGGGCACCCAAGCCAGCACCACGTGGCGCCCGCCATCTTGGATTCCACACGGGCCGCCATTTTGGGAGCAGAGGCCTCCACCGACCCCTAGAGGCTCTTCTACGCCCTCCCTCTAGGGCGGTACCACCCAAAAAAAAAAAAAGGGTTAGCTGATGAGACCTTCGGGTCTCAGCTGCCACCTCCCAATCTAAGGCGCAGAGCGGTCAAGCCTCACCAGTACCAACACCTGGTTTGGAGATTGCGGGCACAAATGGAGAGGGGTGGTCTTGCTCCCAACAATTGGCCATGTCTGACCCCCCTTTTTCCTCGGATCCAGAACTGGACTTAAGCCCGCCTCGCAAGGGGGCTAAGTCCTCCAAGAAGAGTGCCCGGAAACGGTCTGAAGGTACCGACCGCAGATCCAAATCCGGAAAGGGGCTGACTTTCCAGGACAAGGATGCCCAAAGACGCCATCAGGCGCTAGAGCGACAGTGCGCTAAAGCCTAGAGGGCACTGGAGTTGTCACCTAACAAGGGGCCAGGGTCAGAGAGCACGGCTGCTACCACACCCAGAGAGGCAGACCCAGCACTGGTCTCCTCGACGGAGTTGGCCCAGACCCGGGTGACCCCGACTGTAATGGAGAGAGGGACCCAACAGGATGGAACCCCCACCCCTGTACGGGGTGGGCCAGCACCTTTCTCCCCGGCAGGGCCGTCTTGGGGCCCGGGCGTAGGAGCGCAAGGGGCACCACCACCGCCCACACAGTTGGATTTCCAAGCCATGTTCTCCACGGCATTGTCATCCTTCCTAGCCGCCAGTTGGCAGCAGGCGGTACCTCATCCGCAGCCGACACAGGTCCAGGGACCACACCAACAGGTCCAGAACAAGTCCCGCACCCCCGCAGCACCAGAATCCTCCTCTGAGGAGTCAGACCAAGCAGACGAGGCCCCTGAGGACGTAGAGTTCTCAGAAGACGAAGGGCTGAACCCGGACACACCAGTCTTCTCCGGGCTTTTTCGACCGTCACTATTTAGGTCGCTCCTCCACAAGGCAAGACTCACAACTAACCTGGGTATGCCGGGGGACGTAGAACCAACCCCGCCCTCTACAGCGGAGCCACACGATGCCCTCTTCAAGTCGTCTAAACAGGAGAAGGACTACATCCCCTGTCCTCAACTATTTTCTGACGTCATCCAAAATGCTTGGGGGCAACCAGCTTCTCAAACTATACCGAGTAGCCTAGATAAGAAACTTTACTGCTCGGCCCCTGAACTAGAGGACCTGCTACTCCTCCCGACGGTGGCCAACCGGTCGCAGCACTATCATCCCCATCACTAGTTTCCTCAGAGGCACTGGATGGGCTCAAGGTGGAGGAGAAGAGGACGGAGTGGGCCTTCCGTAAAGCACATCAGGCAGTGGCCTGGGCAATCAGAACATCCACAGCCACGTCCTTTTTCAATAGAGCGGCCCTCATCTGGCTATGCCAGATGCAAGAAAGACTCCCTTCAGACGACACCCGGCTGCACCAAGACATCAATAAGATTATAGCAGCCACCGAGTACGCATCAGATGCCTCCCTGAACTCAGCAAAGTTCGCTTCAAGGGCTCTAGCCTCCACTGTTACGGCGAGGAGGCTGTTCTGGCTCCGGCCCTGGAAGGCGGACCTCAAAGCCAAATGGAAGCTGGCCACAGCTCCCTACAAGGCTTCCAACCTATTTGGAGCAGCCCTGGATCCTGTCCTAGTCGAGGACAAGGACAAGAGGAAGATTTTGCCATCGTCTTACCGCCGCCACGAGCGGAGATACTCACCTTATCCGGTCCAACAGCCCTTTCGCCCCGGCTCAGGGCCCAGGGGGTCCTTCTCACAATGCTCCAATTACCTGGGAGGCGACAGATCACAAGATAGACAACATTTCCGAGACAGGGGCAGGAATCAACAATCCAGAAGACCCTTCCGAGGGGCAGGCTTCAAACCCACCAGAAGAGGCAAGTGACTCCAGGACCGAGGGGCCCATAGGGGGAAGACTGCTCCTCTTCCATCAGCAATGGGCCCGGTCAACATCGGACTCGTGGGTAAGGCGCACCACCTCATTTGGACTATCAATAGAATTTGTAGGTGCGCTGCCGCAACGATTCGTGCGGTGCCCTGTCCCACAGTCCTCCGAACTGCGGACCCTGATGATACAAGAACTGATCCACCTTCAGGAGGTCAGAGCTATAGAGACAGTACCACCAGCCCTCCAGGGCTCCGGGTTCTATTCGAGCCTATTCCTTGTCCCCAAGAACTCGGGGGGATGGAGAGCCATCTTAAACCTAAAAAGGCTGAATCTGTCTGTGCGATACCACAGGTTCAAAATGCACTCACTACAGTCAATCCTAACGGGGGTGAGACGGGGGGACCTCCTCCAGTCAGTTGATCTTCGGGAGGCCTACTTTCACGTACCCATTCACCTGGACCACAGACAGTTCCTGAGGTTCGAGTACGGCGGGCAGCACTTCCAGTATCGAGCCATGCCCTTCGGACTGTCGTCGGCACCCCGCACCTTCATCAAACTGGTGGCGGTGGTGGCAGCCAAGCTCCGGGCCATCCCGGTCCGAGTCCTCTGCTACTTAGACGACATCCTGATACTCTCGTCAACTCACGACCAGGCAGTCAGGGACCGACACCTAGTCCTCGAGACGTTCCAAACCCACGGATTCACTATCAACCTCGAGAAAAGCCAACTTTACCCATCCACTTGAATCCTGCACCTAGGGGCAGTGATAGATTCCACCAGAGGCCAGGTCTTTCTTTCACCAGACAGGGTCCAGAATCTCCAACAACTGGCCATCCGAATCCGGGCAGGGAGGAGGGCCTCCCTCCTACAACTATCATGCCTGCTGGGGAAGATGGTTTCCTGTTTCGGCATCGTTCCGTGGGCACACAAACACTCGAGGGCCCTCCAGTGGTTCCTGCTTCCCTTTCAACGCTCGGGGAGGGCAAACTCGAAGCACAAGGTTACCCTCACCCCCAAGGTGAGACGCTCTCTCAAATGGTGGACATCCAGCGCACTCTCCAAGGGGTCAGAGTTCCTAGACCCGGACAGACTGATCCTCACCACGGATGCAAGCCTGCGGGGGTGGGGAGCACGCCTGTACAACGGGGTGGCACAGGGCCAGTGGTCCAGGGTCGAGCAGCACAACAGCATCAACCTGCTGGAACTCCGGGCGATCAGATTAGCACTGCGCCACTTCCAGGCCACGGTGCAGGGCCGGCACGTGCTGGTCCTGACGGACAACATCTCGGCCAAGGCGCACGTGAACAGAGAGGGAGGCACGAGATCCCGCTTCCTGATGCTGGAATCAGAGGCCCTATTCGAGTGGGCGGAGAAACACCTGCTATCGATCAAGGAGGACCACATTTCGGGGTCGGCCAATGTAAGAGCAGACTGGCTCAGTCGAACAACAATAGACCAGGCGGAATGGCAACTCCACCCTCG